AATAAATCTCTGTTCTCTAGTTGGCGGGCACAAGTTCTAACAATAACCAATGTTGTAACCTTATACATTTGTCCATATTTAAATTGTAAGATTACAATAAAAACTCATTTTATTGATTGATAAATGATTTTTGATTGTCTTTTTTTTCAACATTAAGAACAAACTAGAAGGAATCCATTCGTTTTTATCAGAAAGAAATTTTTAGTTCATTTTTTTTTTTGTTTTTTTCAATGTAGTTTGATGGTAATTTTAGGGGAGTTTTTTTGTATTTTTAATGCTATGCAATTTGTTTCCAATGGAACATTTGTCATTGTTTAAGTATTGAAAGTATGTGTAATCTAGTAAATATGATTATGTAGTATACCTTAAATCATTCATCGATATATTGATTTCTAATCTCTTATAATTCTTGAAAAATTGATCAATTTCCCTAACTACTATTATGCTTGGATAATCTTTTAATACTGATCAATCTGGTTACTATTAGTCTAAGTGATATGATACCGAATACATTAAGTTTAAATGTTATATGATTGAAATCTGTGTTTAGAAAATCTTATTTAATGTAGATGCTATGCGCTAATTAGTATTCATCAAAAAGTCATAATTGCAATCTCTAAGAAACTGATACATTCTATAGGATGCAGGTACATCTAACTGGTGAATGAAGAAACGATTGTCTTCGATTTCATTGTTAGTTATAATTTAAATGTGTAAATGATCATTATTGGATTTTTTTAGAATGGTGACTATAAAACTATCTACTAGAGTTTATTCCCAAATAACTTGAAATTTATCAGTCAAGATTTAACATATAGTTGGTATTTTATAATATTGATTGGTATATTAAAAAAAAAGAAATACAATGGATCATTAGACTAGCTATATTCAATTCCGGTAATGACTGTTCCTTCTCTAACATTAAATATTGAAGTTCTGAAAGTTAACGACAAACTCGCCTAATTAGACTGTAGATGTAATGAGCTTCAATCTTCTGGTTACCTTGAATAACAATCAAAAAATAATTGAAATGCGTTTCTCGCCGTTTAAAATTCAAAAATAAAACTCCAGGAATTGTCTACATCAAAATCTAGAATCATAATCAAAAGTAAAACAGTTGACCGTGTCAACTACTCCACTCATCTTGAATGTCAAGTTAACCGAAGTGATTAAGTATCAGTAGTAATTTGGAATAAGCTTCAGAAAACCCACTTGTGTTTGATTAACTTAAGTCAATTATAACCTTCAGAATTTGTCAATTCGTTAATCAATAGACAAGTGTAGTACTGAACAGTTCGAGTTCGATCTAATCTTATTTACCACTGTGAATGAAACATGGTCTTCCATAATACAACATATTCGTGAGTTGTTAGTATTTGATGTCAGATGCTTTCGAAGTAATGCTCACGTATGTTGGGATGATCGAGTGAGTAATGGTGAGGTTAGAAACATGTGCTGTGTAGAATGGTGAATCGTTTGATGAGTTAGTGAATGTCGATCATGTGAGGTTGTTGAAACTTATGTTACATATGTGTAGTCGCCAACCATCTCGATATGTGATGTAATGTTGAGTTGTAGTGAACTGGTGTATAGTTGTTAGTGGTCGAACCAAGCTGTAACATCGATTTACAAATTGATTGAGAGTTGTGTTTGACCTAATCTATGTAGTTGTAATAAATTGGATTATAGTTAGCACTAGTTTCAAGGTTTTGTGAATTATTGGCAATCCCACAGATATTTCTACTCCTTGTATACTCTTATTGTCCTACTTATTTCAAGAATTTTTATATTCTATTTTCAATCTTATTTTACATACCATATTTTTAGTTCTTCTTATACTGTTGTGGGTACTTGTTGTCATGTTGTATTTTAGTGTTTTTTACATTCGCTTTCCGATACAATGGGCTATTTGACTCTTTTTGTATGATCTAAGCAAGTAACGTATTTAAGAACAGTTGATCGAAATTTGTTTTAAGAAAGTTTCTCCAGTATTTTAAGTGGTATTGATAATTGATAAGAGGTATTATGATGTGTACTACTAATATCGACAGATATAAGTAGTATGTATCATCAGTCGAAAGTGAAATGCCTGATGGCTCAAGGTAAAAAAGATTGAAGAAAAGAGAACGAGAACAAAGAATAATTGGTATGGAAACAAAGGAACAATCAAGCCTGAGATAATTGATTAGCATTTTATAAAGGAATTATATACTATATAGTTCACAAATTTTACTGTAATTTTATGTTCAAATTCATTTGCTTATCTTTACTTGTGTTCTCATTCACTTCAGTATCTGTTGTCTAGTGCTTATTATCTTTATATGTATATCATTTGTGATTAATTCATCCACATATCCGAATTTAACTTGGAAACACATTAGTAGCATAGATACTAAACTATCAATAATTAATTGCATAAAATTAAAATTTTTTTTCTTTTTCATCTAATACATAGTTTAAGAAGTATTCTGAAATATCAATTTCTATCTAATTTCATTTAGGTAACTGGTTAGTATTACTTCTTCACATATTTAAAATGTAATTTGAGCCTTAACCTCCCCCCCATTAGTCTGTGCCTGTTATATGATAAAGTTAAATGGTAATCCTATTTTAGATCAATATTTTTTTACCAGAAGGGGTTTTGTGAACCGATAGGTTCCGAGTTCAAATCCCACGGGGTCGGGATCATGAATGCCCACTGCTGAGGAGTCTCATAGTAGGACGAAACGACCGTCCAGAGCTTCCAGGTTTTCCATAGTGGTCAAACTTCAATTGACTCTTGATTTCAATATTCTTTTAGCAATTCACTATGAACTTCGTTGAATATGATTTATTCGAATGTTTATTCAGAATGATATTTATATCCTTTGTATCGATTCAGATGAACTACATTCAATATGTTCTTACAGTAACTGTATATATATTTTTTGTTACACGTGAGATTCTTAGGTATGTATAAAAATCAGTATGTACATGATGATGACATATTAGAGAGGCTTGTTTTGATAAAGAGTTAGAAATTCTTCTTTTTGACTAGTCTTCATGTTTTCCTTTAACATTGTTGGGATTACAGACATTCCTGTTTTTTTAAATATAAGTAACATGACTGTGGAAATAAAGGAAGCGAAACATTTACACAACAAACTATTGGTAAATTAATCATAATGCTATCAATAAAATGAAGCGAATGAATAGTTTGCCCAATAAATGAACTGATTTACTAATGTTATTGGTGGTGGGAATTATAAGGTAAAAGTTTTAGGCAGGAACGATTAGTAGTTAGGAATGGAATTCATGGAGTGAGTTTTGTTCTCTTTGAGATTTATTAACTCAATGTACTTGAATTCCAGAGTTGATATTCACTTTGGAATTTGAATCTTCAATTGTTCGCTTCTAACGTTATCACGTTATCCAACTAACTAGTAATTCAGTATAGCTCCTGGGTTTTTTTTCAATGAAGTTTTAGTTCTAGGACGAATTCCAACTCTGAAATACGGGTATAACCAGCTAATGAGTTCCGAGAGAGGACAAAATGCGCGTTCTGCATTCTGTTACTCAACACTATTCATCTGTGTTTATAAATGCTTGTTACCTAATGGTAAAATCAAGGCAATCTACACAGGATGGATATATGTCAAAATAAGACTAATCATCAACAGTTATCAACATCAACAGTGGAAAGACTCAAACAATCTTTGTATATAAATGAAAATAGGTGAATGTTGCATCAATAAACAAAGTTATCAAATACAGTGAAATGTATTGAATTACCAAGTGTTTAAGTCTATAAAAATGAAGTTGTGTTAAAAAATTATCAGAAGATTTCAAGTTTTGAATATCATAATCAGTAAATAAATAAATAGTCACATTGTACTTAAATGTCCCTCCCACCGTTTACTAGAAGCTCGTGAAATGATAACATTCTGTATACTGCATTAGAAATGATCATTGAGAAGACTATAATGTCGATAAAGAATCAATTCTTTGATAGCTATCTGAGATAGTTTTAATGATGGAAGTGCAAATGAAACAAATCTACATCATACATCAATTGAAATTTGATATTTCTCAATTTTTCTCAAACACCTCTATGGTGTGTGCTGTTTATATGGGCAGATATAAGTAGTATATATTAGGAGTAAGATTCTTACCTACAGCAGAAAAAGATTGAGAACAGAAGAAAAAAACGAAAAAAGTCAAATTGGCAACTGGAGTTTAAGAATGATGAAGTTCGGAAGAGACTATTCAAGGAAGTTGTACCCCAAATGCCCTGGTACGGCCGAGAGTGTGAAGTGTCTGCTCTCCCTCTTAAAATGCTCGCACACGGCCATGCGTATATAGCCTCTGCCAGGGAAGTCCTACTCATCGCCTTCTCATGGCGGGGGTGTTGTTTACGAAATTGAGAGGACGAAAAGAGAATGTCTGGTGCTTTAACCAAGTTGGTGCACATGAAGAGTTCACCTCTAAGGGAGTTGGAGAACCGTGATTTCAAACCAATGGTGAACATCGGTTCCAGTATCCTGAGGGAACAAATAGCATATGAACCAATCGTTGGTCACCGGCTACCATGGGACTGCATCTCCTGACGTTGCTACACTGCCTTGTGAATCAGACTTCTAGGTCGAAGGCTCCGGGTGTGGCCCCCTAAGAAAACCACCTGTTTCGGTCTGGGCACCCGTACAGTATCACAGCCCTCACACATATCAAATGAGACTTCTGTGGCACATATGTAACTGGTGCCCCCTTGTGCCAGTATTTATGTGTTCAAATAAATAAAAAACAAATTCAATGTATTGCTTACGTATTTTACAAATATAGTGTGTAATTTTGTACAATGCAGTCAGTTGGCTTACTCTAATCATGTGTTTGTTCACTGGTTAATTGTTGTAATAAATAGGATTTCTCAGTTAAATTCCACAATATTCATAATTTTTATGATATAGTTTTATTTATCTAAAGCGTATTTACGTGATATTACATTTTATGAATATATTCATCAGTTCAGAGAAGTAGCAGTTTAGATACAAAACATCAAACCAATGAATCAGTTGACGAAGAAGATGAAAATGATCGAATTGAATCTGAAAAATCTGGAAAATCCGAAAAGAAACGTGCATTTATTCGTGATGAACATGGAGTTTGTAGACCTGGTGAATTAGATGAAGATACAAATATGAGTAAAAATCATGAATCACGATCGTCTGTTGTAGATCGTACTGCTGCAGAACGAATTTCATATCGTTTGGTTCAACAGCGTAGTTTAGATGTAAGTTAAATAACAAGATTGACTGTCTCATTATGAGGTACCTATCAATGTTATTATCGTAATAGAATAGATTGATTCTGTTATAACTTGTGACCGCCGATTAGAGAGCAGTGGCTTATCGATCGGATCGATAACGTGTAAAACATGTGTGAGCAGCCTAGAGTCCTGATTGACTCTGCTTCCTGCCTAGCCCAGCCAGTTAAGTCCAGAACACAGGTCTCAGCCTCTGCGATATGAATCCTTATATTTCAAACATACTGAGTTTATATACCAATCAAACAGACCACAACGTATCAATAAAATATGAAACAGCATTTGTACAAGAATTAGCCAGATATGGCTGTGAATGAGGGAGGTAGTAATTAATATACTGGGTATAACTCAAAAATGGTAAAACATATAATAATAGTTTATGGGTGAAAATAAAGCTTATAATAAGAGGAACATGAATATGAATAGTTTAGTTATTTAACAATTATACGATAGAGTTATATGTTTAGTATTGGTCCATAAAAGGATCCTAAAATTACCATTCATTATGTTTCTCGGGTCCTAACAAATTCAGAAGTTAGTTATCAAAATCGGAAAGAGAAAACATTTTAATGTCTGATTCTTCAATATCATTGACTAAGGTGACATAAATCTCTGCGGAATCGCTTTCCGGATTTTCTCTACATTGTTGAGGCAATAAACTTCAAATGAACTAAACGAGAGGTTTTAACAGTTTATCAATTCAAGCGTAAAGTTAGTTTTGAGGAAAAAAAATGCTGAGATTTCTAATTTCTCGTTCGTTTTTACTGTTTTAATCATTTTTCTAATTTTCTCTTAAAATATTAAATACTCATTATCATCTATATGCAAGATGAATGATTTTTTGCAGTGGAATTTAAGACGCATTTAGGACTCGTCAGATGAATGTACTCAAACCCAGTAAGGTTCGCTTCAAATGTCATTGCGTTATCCATTTAGCTACTGAGTCCAGATAGCCACCAACATATGCAATACGATGAAGTGGAGTTCATTTAGTATTGATTGTTTAAATCTTACCATTGATATTCAGGACTTTATTTGACCATGTCTGTCCAAAAATGCTTGTGAAATAATGACTTTATCGAAACAAACCCCACAAAGTGTACATTTATTAAAATTAGACTGATCCATTGCAATCCTAAACATCAATTGAAGGATTCAAGCAATCAATACATGATGATAAACGGAATACACCCATTATGACATTAAATAAGAAAGAAAGATTAGTTCAGCGAAGAGTTCTCTTTTCGGCGAATTCCATGATGAACGAATTCTATAAATTAAAAGTAGCTTCCCATATCACGGAAATCTTGACTAAGTGTTTGTTCAATGAGTAATAAGTTCCTAATATTAGTGTATGTAGTTTAATGAATAATGATTCTATATTTTGCTTATATATGCATAACTTGTTCAGTCAGTATACAAACTGAAATCATAAACTCATTTTGTATTAGTTACTTGAATCTTCTCACTGATGTTAAGGACTGCAATTGATCAGTCACTTATTGGCATATGTACATACTATGGGGATTGCCTCGATATTGCCTGAAGCCCCGAGAATTATAAGCGGAGATAGATGGCGAATAGCAGGGGAATCCAGGACGAGTGTTTCATCCTATTTGAAACTGGTCATCTGGATGTACCCGAATGCCGAAGTAGACGTTTACATTGAGACTAGAGCTTAGCGCTGTTCGCTTCAAACTCCATCACGTTATCCACTTAGCAATTGGACCCAGCTGACGAGTTTCAAATAGGACGAAACATGTGTTCTGGATTCCACTGTTAGCCACTACCATCTCACCTTGTAATGAGATTATAAACGTTTTAACAAACAATATATGACTCATTGTCAATCTTATTCCATCCGATAACAGTTTCTCTTATATTTAATGAAACACTTATCCTTTTTCGGCTATCACTGATCACAGCATCCATGAAAGTTGTGACAAAACTCGGTGTTAAGTTGACTGGTCGTCCTATTTTCTGACTTCATCGTCTTTCGAAGAGAAAATAAACGGAAACTACAGAACAATAAGCGTTCATTAAAAGAATTGTTAGTGATAAACTTATTGACATCCAATTCTGAGGTCGCCAACCAGAAATTTCTGTCCAAGTTTGTCTTGTGCTCTCCTCTCCAGTTGTTTCCGATTGTGATTCATTCTTTTGATGTCTGTCTTCAATTATATATCGGTGAACAGAATTGTTATGAGTTAGATTCTTATCACGTTCTATTCTGATAAACAAGTAATACTTTTATGAATAAATGAAAGTTCAGACACAAAAATGGCATACTTTACATCATTTTAAATTATGTAGATTTATTAAGCACATGAGCATTGTTGACCACGTGTGACGAAATGGAGCAAGATATTGTTTTTATTAAGTTTTTTTCAGATGAGACTGGAAGACATTCAGTCAGGCTGCCTGATCTAGCTTTTTTTCATAAGACTACCTAAATTTGTTGATACACATTAAAGTTGTAAAATGAGGTAACTTATTGTTTTTGTATCTAGACATCACTGAATGACTAAGAACTGTTGATTAGCTCTCTAAACTCTATTACTAACTGTCCACTTTTGTAATATCAAAGATAACAAATTCATTTATGTTATGTTTTCAATCACTACAGTTCGGATTGTATCGTAAACTGAATAATTTCAACATTGATTCAAACAACAGTCCTATTCAATCTGGTAGTCAAATTTTAGAGAATGATGATAATTCTAATGTCAGTAACAGATTAAAAAAAGATAATAACGAATACTATGATGATAATGATAATGATGATAGCGGTGATATTCAACATGATGAATCCTTCCGTAATATAGATTTGGAACATGAAGAAGAAGAAGAAGAAGATAATAGTACTATTCAAAATGATGAATTCTACACAAATCCTAAAATTAAAGAACTTGGCAAAGAATTCACATTAAAAGATATTTTAGGTCATCGTGTACCAGAACTAGAAATTGACATTATAAAAGATGATGAAGAGATGGGACAGAATGAATAAAAAAGAAAATTAATCCACACACCCACCCACCTACGCACACGCACACACACAGTCATCAAATAAATAGTATGACATTATCCAAAATGAAAAATGCATTTCCATAGAAAAAAAAAACAAACATTTTAAACCCCATTTAAACTATTTATTTCTAAAGTCAACGCATTTACATTGTTGAATTTTGTTGTTCACTGTTTTCTTTTCTTTTTTTTCTTCATTTAACATGTACATTCACAAACTCATAATTCCTCTTCGATGATAAATTTTTCATAGAGGTCCAACCTTTATCATTTAAAAATACCACAGACAGAAAGAGAGAGAGAGGTAAGGAGGGAGAGAGGGAGGGAAAAGAAAGAAAGAAAAATTATCATTATTGAAATGAATGGAATAGTTTTCCGTCCGTTTTTCTTTCTTTCATGCTCATTATTGTTGTGTTTTTTGGTATTTTCTTTTCTCTTCTTTCCTTTTCCTCTCTGTTTTTCTCTTTCTTTTTACTTTTATTTAATAAATAAGCAAAGCAGAACTTTGTTTCCATATGAGTTTTTTTTAGTATTTAACTAAAGAAATATGATTGTTAGGATAAGTTTATTTGAACATTTTGTAAATGGAATGTAGTCATTAAAACAAAACAAAACATTATTATCATTAAAAGGGAATGTTTCATTTAGTTAAGTATTTGTATTTTAGTTTGTATACATAATTTGAAGAAAAAAAATAAACGTTTTGATTTGTACAAATCATTTCATATTGTCAGAATAAATTGTGTGGAGATTTTAGTAAATTTCACGGGTTGAAATCATGAGTCAGTTGAAGCTAGACCATTATTGAAAACTGGAAGCACTGGACGGTCGTTTCGTCCTAGTATGGGACTCCTCAACTTCGTGGATTAGATGAAGTTAGACATTAACACCGTTGGATGCCGGCTCAGTGGTCTAATGGTTAAGTGCTCGCGCGCAAGGCCAGTAGGTCCTGGGTTCAAATCCCGCGGGGGGCGGGTTCGTGGATTCGCACTGGTGGGGAATCCCGTACTAGGACGAAGCGGTCTTCCAGTGCTTCCAGGTTTTCCATGGTGGTCTAGCTTCAATTGACTCTGATTTCAACCTGTGAAATCATCTCATATTGTCTTGTATTCTTATACATTTTTGTTGTTGTTGTTGTTGTTGTTGGTGGTGGTGGTGGTGATAATATTCCTGAAGTTCTAATGAGAAGCCATAACCAGTGGGAATGTGAGACAGTTATCTACTTCAAGCAATAGATGAAGAGTTGCTCGGTTTCAGTGGTCTAAATGTTAAACTTCAATCATGAGACTGAAGGTTCTGGATTCGATTCTTGTGTGCAGGATCGTGGATGTACACTGTTGAGGAGTCATTTACTAGGATAAAGGGCGACCTGCTTGAGCATCTGGGCTACCTGTTCCTGCTATCTAGATATTTCAACAAGTTATCTATTTTCGTTCGTCTTAATATATCATTATGTTTATTAATCGCATAACCTATCCTGCTGCGTTTCTGAAAAGTGCACAACCTTTCGTTGTCAAAGTTGCAAAAAATTCAATGAGAGACAATGTAGTTGTTGGCAATATACAATGAAAAGAATGCACATTATTCAGATGTTCATTTACTGAACATCTAACTGGCGATCACTCAATATTTATCGCCAGGACCGACCAAGAAGAAAGAAACGGAAACTTGTTGAAATACTTTGCGCTCAGAATTCTATAGTGCCAAAAATATAATATTGAATAAAGCTGATGATAATAATAATAATAATGAAACGGTTGTCCATTACTTCTGAGTTTTTAAATGGTGGCCTAGCATAGATCGACTCATGATTCTAACTGTGAAAATACTTTGTGTTTAATAGTCAAGCGTTGTGTTAAAAGATCTTCACTAAAGACATTTTGAATAGTTATTTGATTATAATTTCATTTAAACCCTGCCCTGAGAGTTAGAAGGTCTTCATTTAGAAGATTTATGACGCCTCATGATGAAAGCCGAGTTCCTTCAGAAGTCACGAGGCTGATGCCCCTTCTGACATCCAAAGCAACCATTTATTTAGGTACATAGAATACTCGCATAGTGTGGGAGACTGAGAGAGTCTTTCAAATTGCTGCTACGGTCATGTTATCTCGTATGTCTATTTCAAACAACTAACGGATAGTCTATTCAGAGGGATGTTTCGAAAATGCTTAAGAAATGTTTGGTGAATTTTAGTTTGAATTAGTTTGAAATATTCAAAATATGACTTTCTTATAAAATCAAAAAGTTATGTGTTATTCCACGTAGATAGTCTACTGTTGATTTACTTTCATAATAATCTACAACCAGTTTGATACGTACTGCTACTTCCTTATATTTTCTTTGTGAGTTTTTTTGTTGTTGTTGGATTTCTGCAGCAGACTCCTTTATTCTCAATCTATTTAGACTCTTTCTTTTTCAGAGCATCAGTAAGTTTTAATATATTTGCATGAAGAGTGCCAATAAGTTGAGTAATACCTCTATACAGTGTTATGTACTACTGATGTTGACAGATGTAAGTAATATGTACCATCAATCGAAGGTGAAATGTCTGGCGGCAAAAGGTTAAGAAGATCTACGAAAAGAGAATAGGAACAGAGAATGATTGATGTGGAAACAAAGGAATAATCAAGTCCAAGACAATTGATTGACACTTGCAAATGAAGCATTTACTGTTTGTTTCTTATATCTTACTAATAGTTTCTGTAGTTATGTGTTGAAATACATTTTTTGTTTTAGTTGTCCTCGCCAATGTTCTCGTTTATTACAATATCACCTTTCTACAACATTGTTCTTTTTAGGAAGATCTTCCAAAATAGGGAGTAAAATGAACATATTTCATCCCTTTCGATACTCAATCATCTTTTTCAATATTCGCCGTTTCTTTTTTTTTCATGCTCACCCTTTTATTCGCCACCCTTTTGGATGGATATCAAATTTTGTATCGATTTTTAATAACATTAAATAAATGAATATTTAATTAAAACCTATTAATCAATACTTTTTATTACTTATAAGTTATTCAATTAAAGGTTATTAGTTATTAATGACATGATGTAGGTAATTCCAACAATTTGATTGATTACTGAATATGGTGACTAATAATAATAATAATAATAAAAATAATAATAATAATAATAAAATATCACAGGTTGAAATCATGGGTCAATTGAAGCTAGACCAACATGGAAAACCTGGAAGCACTGGACGGCCGTTTCGTCCTGGTATGGGACTCCTCAGCAGTGCGCATCCACGATCCCGCACCCCACGGGATTCGCGCGAGCACTTGACCAATAGACTAGGCCTGTTGTGAGATAGAAACTCACTGAAGACAATGGTGTACGGTAGCGCAATTTCGTGGATTGGTTGAGGTTAGACATTAACATCGTTGGATGCCGGCTCAGTGGTCTATTGATCAAGTGCTCGAGCGGGAAATCAGTAGGTCCTGGGTTCGAATCCCGCGGGGTTCGGGATCGTGGATGCGCACTGCTGAGGAGTCCCATACTGGGACGAAACGACCGTCCAGTGCTTCCAGGTTTTCCATGGTGGTCTAGCTTCAATTGACTCTGATTTCAACCTGTGAAATTTCTAAAATCTCCACAAAACCCATTCTGATAATAATAATATAGGCAGTATTACATTTATTGTTTGTAATCTTCAACATAGTTCTCCATAATATAACATATTCATAGGTTTTCAGTATTTGATGTCAGATGCCTTCGAAATAATGTTTAACATAATTTGGGATGATTCATTGACTAATGGAGAGATAAGGCCAATAAGCATAAATCCGAGTTTCAGATATTTATCATTTACATATTAATTGTGAGTGAGCCTACTTTAGACAAGTGAATTTGAACTGAGAATCATCAAACATACTCTGATGAGTCGGATTACTGAATCATACAATCGTTTTTGGTAGTCTTTCAGGTTTTACGTGTCTACTAAAAGCAGTCTAACTTTGATTATATCAAATTGTTCAACTAATACACAGCCGAATCAATCAACTTATAACTGAACATTTCAATGAAGCAATTGGAACCGTTCATTAATACCAGGAACTCTTTGAGACCTGAAGATTCTTATACATTCTTAATAATTTCAATGTCTATATAATTTCATACTTATGTTTTTACCAGTTAAAGTTGTAATGATTTTGCTGGAGTTTGTTTGTAGTTCTACGTAAAACTCGTCTCACTTCTAGCCTCTGACATACTTATTCACTGCTGTTACTCCACGTGAAGGAGCATAGACCGTTCATCAGCATTCTCCATACACCTCTGTCCAAGACATTCCTTTTTCTAGTTATTATTCATCCTTTTGATATCTGCTACCAATTTTTAGCACACTGTATACTTTGGTCTTAGTCTTTTTCGGTTCCCTTCATGATTCGAAGTTGGTGCTTGCTTCCTGATGCAGTTTGATGATTTCCTCAGTGTGTGTTCTATGCATTTACAGCGTCTTTTCCTCACAGCCTTCTTATCTGCGACCTCATTTGTTCTGTCTCATGGTAGGCTGGTGCTGATGGTACCCGACCAACGGACATTCGGTATCTTACGTAGAAAATTTTCTATAAATACTCCTACATCCTTGATCAATATATACATATCGAGTCACCCACACACACTGTACAAAGTGCTTAGAATGATGGTCAAAGCAGATCGAGAATATCAGCAACGAGGTAATACAAATGTTATCTGTCAATTTCTAGTCATTTATTTACCCGACAAATTTCACCAAAATGAAATCAAACATAAGATCTTCAAATGATTTTTTCAAATGTATGAATTCTGACGATATATTTTGACATTTTCTCACTAATATTTTCCTAAATGTTTAATCTGATCGAACTCACCATGTGTTTGTCAATGAATTTCATAGGGTGCCTATTCATACTTAGTAAGTGCCGAATATTAACCAATTCATCTTCAATGGTGTCGTCCGAGCAAATCATTCTGGCACGATGAGTCAATATCTTTATCAAGT